AAGGGAATAAAAAGAGGTAGAAATTAATGATATGGAAGACAATCAATGAATAGAGAAAAACCGACAAAGTCAGAAGTTGGTTCTTTTTCTTGAAAACGGTGTATCAAAATTGACACAAAGGAAGAATGAAAAACCTCTATTAAGCATCTGAATTAGACTGAAAAAGACTGAAGGCAAAATATGTGAAAGGTTATCCTAGGTATAATGACAATAATCATCGAACCTAGAAAGAGGCATTCAGCACAATTTACATGAATAATAGGCTCTGTTAATATTTAATTGAGTGTTTCTAACTTGTTTAATTGTATTAGGTAGGCAGTACTTTCATCAACCAAGGTCATACAATTTGCAAATGGCAGAGACAGGACTCAAAACTATTTAACTCAGAAGCTCAGATCGTCTATTAAAATTCCTCTGAGATGAATTACACTCTAGGTGAAGCTAATATCCTCCTAGGTTCGTCACTTCTTGGTGATGTGAAAGTTGCTCAGTCGTGTCCAACTCTTTGTGACCCCATGGACTATACAGTCCATGGAATTCTCCAGGCCAGAATACTGGACTGGGTAGCCTTTCCCTTTCCAGGGGATCGTCCCAACGCAGGGATTGAACCCAGGTCTCCCTCATTGCAGGCGATTCTTTACCAGCTGAGCCACCAGAGAGGACCAAGAATCTGGGGTGGGTGGCCTACCCCTTCTCCAGCGGATCTTCCTGACCCAGGAATCGAACCAGGGTCTCCTGCATTGCAAGCGAATTCTTTACCAACTGAGCTATCAGGGAATATAATTTTGAAGAATTTTTCTTTTATTTGTATTCAGAGCACACTGTTATGTAATAATGCCAGAGTCATTCAACCCCCTAATCGGCATTCACATTACTAATTCACGTAGGGTCAGAATCCAGGGTACTGGGGGGTTTTGCTTCCAGTGGAAGGTATGACTGAGTGAGAAAGAAAGGAGCAAGTTTATCCTTGATGTGGGGACCATTTTTGATTCCTTTCTACTTCTCCTGACTTCTGCAAGGTACTCACCAAATGTTAGCTAATGAATAAATGAGAAATGAGTGGTTGGCTAAAAAGTCAACATTTAAGATCCTGCAGATTAAATATTTGTATCTAGTGCCATGTTTGGCACCTAGTAGGGGTTCATTAATTATTGAAGAGGATGACATTTCCATCATTTTATTAATTCATTCAGCAAAGTATTTATCAAACCTCAGCCAGGTCTTGGGCATTCAATAAGGACATATGGTTTAATATAAGGATGATTCACACATGGTTTCCGCTTTATGTAAGAATCTAGGTGGAGTCTAGAATAAATTGGATACATGTAACAATGACAGATGATAGAAAGCCCTAAATGCTGATATGACTGCCACTCAAGTGTTTTGAATTTGAAGTGAAGAAGACAAAGGAAGCTCTTTCCCTCTCCAACTGGTTTCTCTGGATATCCCTTAGTCATGTTCTACTTGGCAACCTCATAGCCTCAAACTTCTCTTCTCATTGAATTTATCTCAAATCTTTGTTCTAATCTGTCTCCTTATCTCCATCTTCTCAGATGTTATCTCTGTTGAAATAATCTGCTTGCACTGTAAACTCTGCGTGTCCAAAACAGAATTCATAATTTGCTGCCAATCTATCCTTGCCTTTTGAAAATGAGAGAGGAAAAGAAAACACACACACACATACCACAATAAAGGGCAGTGAGGAATAGGGAAATCACAGCATTCCGAGACAAGGAGATAAGGACAATGACTCAGTATGTCTTCAGGTTTTGCAATGTGCTCTATACTGTCTCCATCTATTTCCCAATTCCTACCACAAAAGGGGGAAGTGTGATCCTTTTTTTTTTTTTTTAAATATTCACTCATTCATTCATTTGGTTGTGCCTAGGCTTAGTTGTGATATGCAGGATCTCTGATTGTGGCATGCAGGCTCTAGTTCCCTGACCAGGGATTGAATCTGTGTCCCCTATATTGGGACTGTGGAGTCTAAGCCACTGGACCACCAAGGAAGTCCACTGATTTTCTGCCTTACAACCACAAAAAGTTTCAAAGGCAAGTCTTTCAGTTAATATTCATGTGGGAAGGAATTTAGATCCTCACGTCCATGAGCAATTTCTGAACTCCTCTAAAGTCTTTCACTTGATATTCCCGTGGGAAGGAATTTAGATCCTCACTTCCATGAGCAATTTCTGAATGCATCTAAAGGAAAACAGCATGATGTGGTGACTGTGCACAAAAAACACTGTTTGTATTACTTAACATAATACTGCTTAATAAGATTAGAACTTAAGAGAGGAGGCAGGGCGGAGACTAGTTTACCACTAAGATCTTTGAGGAAACTTCCCTCATAAATTATATTCTTTCTTTTCTATTAGCTACACAGTATTAAGAATCTAGAGGAAACTTTAACACTCACAACTGAAGTTATGGAATTAAGAGAACTAAGACATCCAGTGAATGGATAACTTGAAATACTTTCGAGCTCATTCATTCCCTCAATACCTTTATTGGGATCCTGAAAAAGAGGAAAATAAATTACATGAGCATGGCAAACGGCTAGCTGGTCAAACAACTGGTGACCCTGTCCTCCCAGGAACACAGCTGGACACATTTCCCAGAATCCTTTACAGGTAGATGGGCCACATGATTAAGTTTCGTCCAAAGCAACATGGGTACTCTACCCTCTTCCCCTGCTGGCTCCTTCAACCTGGCTCCTTCAACAGAGACTTTGTAAACTGAGAATAGCAGAGCCCAGAGATGGAAGGAGCCCGGGTCTCAGGTAACTGTGGAAATCTGTTGTCCACCAACCAGAAACACTCATGCTGTACTTTACAAAGAGAAATAACCTCAGGAAAGTTACCAGCTGGGTTTGTGTCCTTACATCAAGGACTTTTACCTGATCAAGAATAAAAGCTCTATAAATATTAACTTTCATCATTTCGGGAAACAAAGTTTACTTCTTTTCTTTTTTTTTCTCTGCAGAAAGGAAAACAGGGACCATGGGGATTAGTGAAAAGCATTTAGATGCATTGACCAGTTACAAAATACTAAATGGTATACTGGTATGCTTAAGTGAAGCAACACTGTAACAACAACTTAAACAGAAAGGAAAAAAACAAACATTTTCTTCTGGATTCAAAGCATTAAATATTATGACTGGTGTCTTGCTAAAATAATCTAATAACAGATATGAAATATAAAAAGAAAGTGGCACTCCCTTCTCTCTTTCTCCCCTTGATAGCAAGCATTTGGAGATACTCTAAAAGTTTTGACAATCCACAACACTTCTGAGGTTTCACATTGATATAAAATTTGTACAAAGAATATTTTATGCTTTTATAATATTTAACTGATACACTTTAGTAACAGTTATAATCAACATTTATTGTTTACATAAATAGATCAGACAATACCTTTGCCAACCATGTTTTCCCAACATACTTATATTACAACACATGACATTTCTTAAGTGAAAATTATCTGTTAAATCTTTTCGCAGAGGGAGTGGGAAAAAGTAAACAAACAGGAGGGTATTGAAATAGTATTTCTAAACTAATCTTCAGTGATAGGCCTAAAACATTTGGCAATTATTACCTTTTATAGAAATCACAGGATTTTAAGTTTGAAACTTATCAAAAGTGCAGTGCATCAATTTAATTAAAAAAACCAGTAGAGTTAAATATATTACCTGGGCATCAAATTTCCCTTTCTACATATATTCAGAATCACATCATTTTACACCTATTAAATAACAATTGAAAACAATAACCATCAAGATCTTTAACCCCAGATCTGGATTAAATCATGGCAGTACTAATGTTTTCCAGTTCACTGACGATGTCACCAGAGAGTAAGTTTTCTATGTGTGGAAAGACAATAATCTTGTAACATCAGGTATTAATCAGGTTACTGAGCTGATAATACATTATGATTTTTTTTCAAATCTATGTTTCTACTTGAACAAAGCACAAGTTATCATACCAACACAGTAAGTCCCCTACATACGAACCTTCACATTTCTAACCTTCAAAGATGAGGACATGCGCTCGCATGTCCAATCACATAAGTTCACATATCTAGTGGACATTGTCACATGTGTACATCCTGTACAAGGGGTTGTGATTTTGTGTACTTCACTGTACAGTGCTGTGCAGTATTTTTATTTCAAGCCGAGATGTCTGAAGCAAGCATAAAAGCAGTGGTGATGTGGCTGGTATCCCCTATTGCTGATGATCTGAAGCTCTTCCATCTCCCACCTCCTTGAGTTAGTAACTCTCCTTGCCTGTTCACTCGATGACAGCCCAGGTGCCATCTGCTACACTATATTACTGTACTTTTCAAGGTACTGCACTCTAACAGTAAAGGTATTTATTTTTTGTGTTTGTTTTTTACGTATTATTGGTGTGAAAAGTCTTATAAATCTATTACAGAACAGTACTATATAGCCAATTGTGTTGGTTGGGTAGATGAGCTAACTTTGTTGGACTTATAAACAAATCTGACTTACGAACATGGCTCTCGGAATGGAACTTGTTTTTATGTAGGGAACTTACTGTACCAAATACTTAATCATTTCTGATACGAGAAACCATCTTCACATTAGTACTTCTTTGTTATGCCATTTAGTCTTGATATTATTAAGCACAATGAATTTTACTTTAATGACTATGCACAAATTAAGGCAAAAGGACACAGCCCAGTCCCCTCAATAATTTATCCTCTTATCTTTTAAAAAACTGCTGTTGAGGCTATACAAATTACAGATCTGCTGGCTAGAAAGACACAACTTGTTCCTTAGACCAACATCCAGTATTTGGAGCAGGAGGTTAAAATCGTGGTACACATGGCATGTTCCCTTGATCTACCATTATGAGCACTCCTCAGCTATACCCACAATACTGATTTTTTCAAATGATACTGTTCACTTGCTATGCCTCCTCACGGTAACATATGTAGATTATTTTTCCTTGATTAAAAATTTTTAATAATTGGGAAATAATCTACTCAGTCTTTGTACACTCTCCATTGAATAATTTTTCATTTTTATAACCATTTCCTCCATGGCTATTGTGCTTTTCTTCTGCCATTTTCTTCACATAATTAAGAGGTCCATTCCCCTCAAAGGAGGAGGGATTTCTGAAAGAGCCTCCAATTCTATCCCACAAGGTGAAATACTGCCCATAATTATAGTCAAAGAGCATATGGTGGTCTGTGTGATGAGCTGAGCCATTAATAAAAGGCTTTAAGAGCTGGGGAACACGAAAATCACCATCGTGAATGGAAATTGTCCAGATATTGACCAAGATGTATAAGCCTAAATAAACTACCTTGTGTAACGGGAAGATAAAAGGGTATATGTGGTAAGGCAGACTCTGAAGGAAGCCGTCCAGAGGGTGAAAAGCGTGACTCGCAAATGGAGTTGGAATCTTCCAGATATGATGAGGTTTGTGTAAGCGCTATAGAAGAAGAGACCATGTTAATGCCATAGACTTTACCCAGTGCAACATTCTACTTAGCTTTTCATGCTCATGGTGTGGGAAATGATCTATCTGAAAAAATCCTGCTGAATTTAGCAAATTACTTTAGAAAATCCCCAAGACAGTAAGATTTTTAGCACAGCCCTTGCAGATTCATAAAGAAGGATACAAACAAAATGTACCTAGTACCTATCATGACTAAGGCTACTTAGGCATTTAATAAGTTAAGAGGAAATACTTGAAAATGAGACAGGATCTATAGCTATCCACTGCTGAAATGTGTATTTTCTCTCTTCCTCTACAAATGAGTCAAGCTTATTACCTTATATACAAGTCTATGATGAAGGCCTCTGTGAATCCAGTAGATCAGCATGTCAGTGAAGAAGAGAAAGGACAAGACACTAGCAACGAGTTGAAACCAGCCTACAAGAGACAAAAGGGCATGGCAGAATCAAGATTCAGCTCCTAGGATCAGTTTACTTTTTCTCCCCTCCTTAATATATTTTTTAACTTTTTACTTTGTATTGGGTTGTAGCCAATTAACAATGTTGTGATAGTTTCAGGTGAGCAGTGAAGGGACTCAGCCATATATACACATGTATTCATTCTCCTCCAAACTCCCCTCCCATCCAGGATGCCAGATTACACTGGGCAGAGTTCCCTATGCTATACAGTAGGTCCTTGTTGGTTATCCATTTTAAATATAGCAGGGTGTACATGTTGATCCCAAACTCCCTAACTATCTGTCCTTCCCCCTAGCAACCATAAGTTCGTTCAGAGGTTACTTTTGACAAGTCCGTCTAAGGAGACAAAACAGGATTCTAGACCCAAACACTGCCAACTATCTGCTTTGTTAATTCAATGCATCACAACCTCCATCTCCCTTGACTCTGGGATCTGTTCATTTTCCTCTCATAAAAACCTGAAGTGTCCTACCCAAAATATTTCTTAATTAAACTATGAGTACACTTACGAAACAGAAAGAGTATACTCCTATGGTATCTTTATTAATTAAATGCTGGAGAATAATGTTATTTATTTTTCCTTTCATATTAATCTTCATAACACACATATCTTTACATATTTTACCTCCTCTGCTTAGAATTTTATTTTCCACAAGCTACCTTAAGCCATGATATTATGAGCATTTACTCTGTAACCCAACTCCTTCTGACTTTTCCAACCTCATCTACTCATGTACTAACCAGCCTGGTTCACTCAGCATCCTCCCAACATCTGCAGAGTCTTGCCTCTGTATCTTTACTCAAACCGCTCTCCTTTTACTTTTATTCATAATTTGGCCCACCTTCCAAGGCCGAGCCAATTCAGCACCTGGTGTGTGACTTTTGTTTCCTCCTTTGAAAACTAAACTTTTACTAGGAGAACAGGGGTGCTGATGCCAACAACTGTGGATTTCAGTCCCAGATCCACCCCTTACTTGTCAAGTGAGCTCAGCAAGTTACTGAAACTCTTCTGTACACTTAATTTACTCACCTCTAAAGGAGCATATAGTAGTACCTACCTCATAGGATTAATATAGAATAAGATGGAGTGATGAAACGTGAAAAGCTTAGAACTAAAGCTGGTACATATGAACAACAAATTTTAACTATGTATTACTCTTACTTTCTAATACTAGATTCCAGAAATTTATCTTGATGAAGTAATTCCGGAATTTCACAAAACTTTAGTTTAGTCACTGTAGCACTGTTTATAATAGAAAAACAAGAAACAATCTAAAGATCTAAAAGTATGTATCATTTAAATAAAGTTTATTTAAATGGATATTTATGCAATGTAATTCTAAAACTAATTGGCATGAAAATATGGGCATAAACATTGGCAAGAAAAAAAAAAATCAGAGTCCAAACCAGCATGCATAGCAAGGGTTTCAATCTTGTGATATAAATAATGATGGATTTTTTAAAAAAATAAGTGATGCTAGATTTTTTTTAAAAAAATTTGTCTTCCGATTTTTCTATAAGTATCGATTATTTGAGATTTATTTTTTTTTGGGGGGGGGGAAATGCTTGAATTAAATATAGGTAATAGGAAACAAATTCAAGGCTCTAGCTCTAATGACGTCAATCTTCTCCTGGGCACAATCTCATCTACAAGAAAGACTTTAAAGTTGAGATGAAATTAAAGAAATGCACATATGTGGCAGGACATGAATGAATTAAAGTAGAATACTGAAAACAAACTGGGATTCCCAGGTGGCACTAGTGGGAACCCACCTGCCAATGCAGGAAACATAAGAGATGTGGGTTTGATCCCTGGGTTGGGAAGATCCCCTGGAAGAGGGCATAGCAATCCACTCCAGCATTCCTGCCTGGAGAATCCCATGGACAGAGAAGCCTGGTGGGCTACAGTCAATATGGCCACAAAGAGTCAGACACAACTGAAGCAACCAAGCACGCACACATAAAAACAAACTGAAATTTTAAAAAGTATTTTGAAGAAAAGAAAAGGCAGATTTGATTCCTTCAAGAAACCCATCTGTGCCTGAAGTTTACACTCCATACTCTTACACCATATATGGAAACTCACCATATGGAAACTCTCCTACGCCGTCATAGAGTTTGCTGTAACCTCTCACCTCTAGCAGGAACAGTGAAACCGTGGGGATGCTCATCCACGGCATTGACTGGACAGAATGCGTAATCTCTCGAGACACTTGATTCTGAAAATGAAGTTTCCAATACTTAGAAAGCGCAGAATCTATGTTAAACAAACTAGCACACAATTGTTCCAGATTGGATTTTGAACATCTCTTTTATATGAAGGCACTTACCTCCAAACTGCTTCTACTAAAATGTTACTGTTTGGGCAGGGGTGTATAAGAAAAACATTCCTTTTGCAGGAAGCAAATGCAACAAGTATTTTAAATTCTAAAGTTTTTTCTCCCCTTCCTACAAAATCTCTATTCCAAATTTCTATTTACAGAATATTCATTTATTTCATAATTAACTTCCATCCCCAACCCTCTCTACCTTTTTTCCCCACTCTTTGTAGTGACTGACAAATACAAGTAACTGAAACAGAAAAGTCACTAAACAGGTCTATATCTGAGTTTGGATTATCTAGTCAAAAATTATATACATAGTAAAAGCATATTTCAGTTTGTGAAAGCTTAATATTAAAACAATTATACAAATGTCTACATTTATTTATTCATCACTATTAGCAAAGAAATTCTTGTCTATGTGTCTAGCAAGACCAGGCTTACAGTTAAAAAAAAATACAGTTTATTTATCTGTTTAAGGAAAGGAGAGAGGGGACTAGTTCTTCCAAAAATATCCCATTTGGAGCCGGTTTTAGAAACTCTAAAGGTTATAACCAGTTTAATCTGAAAATCTCACAAATATTGATACATCACATTGCTATTTTTACTGTAACAGTAATTAAACAATAGATAAGAAAACCACTTACCTTTAAAAATTGTGGGTGTTTCATTAATAAATGGTCATAGACAAAATAATAACTCAGTGTTGCAAAGAAGAAATACAGTATATAAGCACCGAGATTTGTTACAATCAGGAGAGTGATAGCTTGTCGGAAGATGTTGTCCGCTGGCCATGTGGCTGGATATACGTACGGTGTAAAAAAATAATAATCTGCAATATTGAGTACAAGATCCATCTTAGCCCCTAAAGGATAAACAGGTAACAACAATTACTTTCTCATGTTGACATTTCTCAAAGCAAAAATTTTTCAGAAAAACTATACATGAAATTCCTGCTTTCACAGGCATATGAAGTACAAGCCTGCTGCTACTACAATCCTGTAAATGCCATCATTAGAGCCAGAAGGGGTCTTCAATGTCATCTCTGGACTAGGGTCCAGTCTCTTCATCTTATGCACGGGGACACCAAAGCTCCTGAGGGAAACTGGGGCCCACAAAACTACTTCTCCAAGGCCAGGCTGATGGGTGGTGTAAATCCAGATCTAATTGCATCTCAGTGTTTGCCTCCAATATATCCTATTGCCAGAGGACATGGTAATAGTTAGCATGCAAATAGCAAAGGTATTTAGGTAAATGGTTTTCTCCTTCCCCTACAAGTTTCAATGGCACAAAGGATTCATATTTGAGAGACTTTTGCTTCAGTGCTGAGACTTCAGGTCAATTTCCTAAAAGGGATCTATGATGTGACCACAACCATAAAAGTCAGGGACTATCCTATTTTTGTGACTGACCCGAACTCTCATTGATGGAACAAAAAATGTACTCTTGACACTGAAAACTAGAATACATTTCTCCCCTGCCACCCACCCCCCAGCAGTCAGGGGTTGGCAAACTGTGGTCCCACAGGGCCTGAACCCAGTGCCTGTTTCTGTAAAGAAACTTTGTTGAAACACAGCTATGTCCACATGTGTCTATTATATAGTCTATAGCTGCTTCTCTATACTACAAAGTCAAGATTCAGTCACTGTAACAGACACAGCATGGCTCACAAAGCCTAAAATGTTCATTATCTAGCCCTTTGAAAGGAAAGTAGGCCAGCTTCTGTTTCCAGATGCTTAAACTTTGAAAAACTTAAGTTGATCCTGCATATAATGTTCAGCAAATTCAGTCAGCTTTTGTGGGCTGATCACTGACTCCATCATTGACAATCTATTTTCTCATTCTTCACTGCACTGTTGGTAGTGAGAAATGTGCACAGTATTCTAAACAGCCCTCATCTATAACTAAAACTTTTGAACAACAGCAATAAGAAAAAAGAGTCCGAAAATTGCCTTTGAGTTTTCAGTCTCTTAAAATCAAATTCTAGAAGTTGTTTATTTATTAGGGCGTTTAACCCCTTGTTTGTGACGTGAGTTGCAAGCATTTTTTTCTCACGTGGACATGGAAGAAAATTTATAATCAACTAATACAGATACCAGATATTGACATATACCCTTCATCATATATTGTTAATGCACTGAAACAACAATTAAATATCAAGAACTGCACCAGGTGAAGAGCATACAAAGATTAAAAAGATTCAGTCTAAATCCATCTTCAAAGTAAGGCAGCTATAGGACGGAACAGTCCCATCAATACGACAAGTACTACAATTAAGGTTGTTGTTTGGTTGCTAAGTCGTGTCCGACCCCTTTGGGACCCCATGAACTGTAGCCTGCCAGGTTCTTTTGTCCATGGGATTTCCCAGGCAAGAATACTAGAGTGGGCTGTCATTTCCTTCTCCAGGGTATCTTTCTGACCCAGGGATTGAACCTGCATCTCCTGCATTGGGAGGTGGATTCTTTACCACCAGGCCACCCAGAAGTTCTACAATGAAGGTACATATGTGTAAACTGTAGGAAATTAAAAAAGACAACACAACTATCTGCTATTACAATAGAAGGCTGTACAGTGAAGTACTTTGATTTGGGCTTTGAAGGACATTACCAGAAAAAAAAAAAGGGGTGGAGGGATAATTATCTCAATTAGAAATAACAACTGCAAAGCCATGGGAATGCCATGGTACATTCATGGCTCATGGGATGTGGCAAGGTGGATGCTTAACAGTGTGACGAGGGTGAAGCAGAGGGAAAAAAAGGTTGAAACTGGTGTCAGACTGCTTTTGCTATTGGATCTGGTGCCCTGATAAGGAATTTGAACTTTCCCTCACACATGACGGGGCAGACACGAAAGACTTTCAATGAGGAAAGAGGTATAAACAGACACATAGTTCATAAAAACTGTTGTGTTAGGAATGTACTATACTGGTGAGACACAGGGAGACTGGTTGCTCCTAACTAGTGTGGTAGACTAACCTAGAGAGGATGACTGCCTGAACTCAGACAACAGTTGTTAAGAACAGACACATTCATCAGAGACTAAGAAGTCTAATGGGAGTTTGGGACTAGCAGATGTAAACGATTCTATACAGAAAGAATAAACAACAAGATCCTACTATATAGCACAGGGAACATATTCAATATCCTGTTATAAACCATAATGGAGAAAAGTATGAAAAACTATCATCAGAAACTAATAAAACTTTGTAAATCAACTATACATCAATTAAAAAAAGAAATCTAGGATGTTATCAAAATAGGAATATTGTGGAGCTAGTATATTTGGGTGCAACAGGAACTTTTGAGGTACGAGGAATGATGGGTTCGGTTTGGGTCTTAAGTCTAATTGCTGTGACTCATCTGGACTCCAGGATAAAAGCAGCAGCCTACCTGCAAACATGAATCTGAAGATCAAAAGGAGCCTAGCTGTAGCTGAAGCTGAAGCCATAAAGGACAGAGCAGCAGGTCAAGCACATTAAGATCGAAAACAAACATTTAAGAACCTAACTGAAAAGAATACTGCTATAGCACTAAAGGCTGCTTCCCTAGAGGCTCAGACGGTAAAGAGACTGCCTGCAATACAGGAGACCTGGGCTCGATCCCTGGGTTGGGAACATCACCTGGAGAAGGAAATGGCAACCGGTGCCAGTATTCTTGCCTGGAGAATACCATGGACAGAGGAGCCTGGGAGGCTAAGTCCACAGGGTTGCACAGAGTCGGACATGACTAAAGCAAATGAGCATACACACACACACACTTTAAAGGCTGGTAAGAGTGGAAACTCCAATACTTTGGCTACCTCATTTGAAGAGTTGACTCACTGGAAAAGACTCTGATGCTGGGAGGGATTGGGGGCAGGAGGAGAAGGGGACGACAGAGCATGAGATGGCTGGATGGCATCACCGACTCAATGGACATGAGTTTGAGTAAACTCCAAGTATTGGTGATGGACAGGGAGGCCTGGCGTGCTGTGATTCATGGGGTCACAATGAGTCGGACATGACTGAGCGACTGAACTGAACTGAACTGAAGAGTTGGTGAAAGAGTCTTGCATATTACCTATAAAACCAAATAGCCATAATTCCATATACAGTAAGTCTCCTACATACGAATAAATTCTGTTACTAAGTCCAACAAAGTCAGCCAAAGTATCCAATGACACAATTGGCTACAAAGTACTATTCTATAATAGGTTTCTAATGCTTTTCACACAAAGAATACACAAAAAAAACAAACAAAAATCTTACCATACAATATCTTAAAAAATACAGTAGTACAGTACAATAGCTGGTATACAGACAGGTGCTGGCATCGAGTGAACAGGCAAGAAGACTTATTGACCAGAGGAGGGACAGCAGGAGAGAGTAGGAGGGAGATGGTAGAGCTGAAGGACTGTCAGCAATAGGAGACGGAGGGCAAGCTGCAATTTCACTGATGCTGATGGAATGCACGGTCACACCTTTCAAAGTTCAAAACTTGAAGGTTCCTATGTAGGGGACTTAGTATAGTATCTGGAACAGTACCGTGTAGCCAAAAATAACTCACACATTAACCATGAGCATTCTTTAACTTTTTTTTTTTATATTTTACTTTTAATATTCGATGTAAGTAAAGACTTTAATAAGCTCTCAGTCCCTACCTATTAAAAAAAACTCTTAACTGAAGACCATGCGAGTTGTATTCATTTGCATATTCCCTGTATATAACTGCTGTGATAGTAAGCCAGTACCTAGAAGAAAGGAGGAAATGTACCTCAGACCATCTGGAGGCAGCTGAGATACTGTGAGATGAAACCTGTTCTAAAGTTTTTTTTTCAGAATTTGTGGGATGTAGTAATCAGGTATTCACAAATATATTGCTGGAATTTCTGACATCTAAAAAAAAGTTTGAAATCACTAACAATTATGATCTCAAAACTGCAATTCAATTTTGAAGTTTATATTCAAACCCACATCTATGAAATAGAGAAATCATATCTAGGTTAGGTTACAGAACTGTTCTAAGATTTAGAGATGAAGTATAGGGTGTGGCATTATCTAACATGTGGAACCTCCTCAAGGAACAGGAGCTATTATTACTATTGTTACAGGAACCACAGCTGAGTCTTACTCTAACCTAAGGCAAAAAAAAAGTGTTATCTAATTTTAAAAAATTGCTCATTTCTAGTATCAACATTTACTATATATGAGGTACTGTAAATATTAACTCATTTAATCCTTTCAAGATACACCCTACAAGTTACGTACCAGTATTATTCTTATAAAAAATCTGGACACAAGATACCCAGAGCGATCGAGTAAACAAATGCTGGGGCTGTGATTCAATCACCCTCAGGCTGGTTGCAAAATTCACAGACTTTAACCAAGTTCTAGTGCCTCTTCAGCACTATCTCTTCAGCTCCTTCAATTTTTAAATTTTCAATGACCTTAGAAGCTCACATACTTTTGCATATAATTTTAAAGTGTTTACACCCCTAAAGCCAGGGGCTCTATAGCCATCTTAATTACACTACAATAACTGGGGCTTGCACAAATAATCACCAGTTCTTCAGCCTAATTCCTTTGCCTCTTGAAGAAAAAAAAAAAAATTCCCCAAGAACAGAAAGAAATTCATCGCGAAACGCTTTACTAGCGTTCAGTGGACTTGCCTTGTAATAGATTTTCGCAATAGCCAACATCAAACATTTCATTTTCTTCAGGTCCATTCTCATGTTTTGTTTCTTTCACGTCCAAGCCTCCTCGTGCCGTGAAATTTACGCGCTCTGGCCAGGCAGAGACCCCTAACCTGAAGGTCTCTGGCCGCAACTCGCCAGCCCCTGGCCAGCGCGCGTGCCCTGCGCCCTGCACTCGCCCCATCAC